GCAGATTTTTTATAGACAGTTACCCTGAAATGAGGATCTCAAAAAAGTCATGAATTCAAAGTTGAAGGGGAAATGTAAAATTCTCTGATTTTTGTAACTAATTTCTTCTAATAGTTCCACCAAAGGGATTACGAAGATATTGGTATAGTTGGATTCCTCTCACTATCTACATTGCTAATATGTAGGTTTTATGGTGTGGAAACCCCCCTAATCCCCCACCCATTATCAACAAGCTTGGCCCAGATTGCAGGGAAGGTCATGAAAGGTACAAGGGAAACTGCGGTGTAAAATATGAAGAATACACACAGAATCAGTCACTAAATTGTCTGATGAAAGGATTGACTGATTAACAAAAATCACAACTGGCACTGCAACAGCAGCCTAATGAGGGGTTACAGCCCTCTACAATCCCCCCATGGAGAAAAAAAAATCCTCCACATATTCACGGCAGGAGAGGGCACTGGCCAGACTTGACAAAGGCACTCCTGCCTGGTGGTCGTACACTCTCCTGCTGTGATTACGTGGAGGATTCTTTATTTTTCTTGGCAGGAATTTTGGGGCAGCAGCCCTCCCATGCGGGGTTACAGGGGGAACAGCCCCCTGCATTACACAATATAGGGACTGAGTGTTGATTAATGATATTTTATCCTGCAATTTCCCTGACTCATGCCCTCCCCTGTTATCAGGGCCAAGACTTTGGGGTTTGGAGGATTTCTGTGCAATAATTTTTATATATCTGGAAACTAGAGAGAGAGGAATCCAATGATACCAAATTATCACTACATGATTGGTGGAACGATTAGAAAAAATTACATTTGTAAATACCATTTCTTTTCACAGCTTTAAAAACTTAAAACTTTGTTAAATTTTTCAAACAATTGTGGGGGCATGAATGTGGAGGGTTCTGGGGGTTTCCAAACAGTCTTTACATTTGGAATCTAGAGAGAAATCCAGAACCAAAATCATCACGATCCATATAGTGTAACTATTAGAAAGACAAAAAAATCTAAATGCTTTAGCAAAGAACGTATCACACAAGAACAAAAATAATATTTCTAGCAGTAATCTTTTCCAATACATCTGCATAGGGGATTGTGTTTATTTTGGTATAATTGGATTCCTTTTATTGTGTGGAAATACCCCAAACCCCTACATTCTTGGACCCAATAGCCCAAACCCCTACATTCTTGGACCCAATAGTAGGGGAAGGCATGAAAGGTACAGTCTGGGACTAAAGTGCTCGGAAAGATTTTGCGTGTTTAGTTTATGGCCCAGAGATGGCACTGAAATCGCTGTGTAGTAAAGGGGCGGATTCCTGAATGGAGGAGGGAGGAGGGAGGGAGGTCGAAGTTGAGCTGTAGGGATTCATTACATTGCTTCAAATGTGTCTGACTCAATGAGATCGAGGAAAATACGAGGGAGTTAATGAACTCATCTAGCACAGTGCCATTTCTGGGCAATAAACAAAAATAAAATAAATAATCTGCACAGAATAAGTCACTATTTTGTCTTAGTGCTGATGACCGCCATGCAGGAGTAGCGTTGCCAAGTCTGTTCCGCCGCTCTCTCCAGCTGTGAATACATGGATTCTGTTTCACTGGCTTGGGGTTGGGGGTCAGCAGCTCCCCATGGGGGGTGGGGATCATGCAGTAGACAATAGAGTGACATTCTCTGTAAATCATTAAAATTCTATCTTGCATTTCCCTGGTAACTTTCATGCCCTCCCCTGCTATATTCGGGCGAAGAATGTGAAGGTTGGGGGGGAGGGGACTTCCATGCAATAAAACCTATACATTTTCATTGCAGGACAGTGAGAGGAATCCAACAATACCAAAATCGTCGCGATCCGCTTTGCGGAACGTCTAGGAAAAAAATTACTGTTCTTTGTAGTTGTTGATCAAGAAAATACATGAAGAACGTGTAAACATTTTACGGTAATTTTCTATATTACGTCCGCATAACCGATGTCGACGATTTTGGTATCGTTGGATTCCTCTCACTCTATACAATGCAAATATGTAGGTTTTATTGAGCGGAAACCCCCGTTAGCGACAAACTTGGCCCCGATAGCGGGGGCAACGATGTCGGAGCGGCAGACGTAATATATAAAATTACCCTAATAATATAACCTCACAGTGAAAATAATCATGGTTATTTACAAGACTTTCCATTGCAGGGGCTAAGCCCCTGCGACCCCCCCTAGGGGGGGCTGCCGCCCCCCAACCCCCGCCAGGAAACAAAAACCTCCCACGTATTCACGGCAGGATAAAGCGCACACGAACTAGATGCATTGAAAAAGGTGCAAAACCCGCTGACCCGACGAGGGCGGGTCACCGCCGCTCTTCTGTTCATGGTATACCTTGTTAATTCTGATTATACTACAATCGTCACTGTATGCAATTCTATGTCAAGGTGAGTATGCTGATTCAGTGGGAATGTTATGAGGTAAATGTAATACGTCCGCCGCTCCGAGATCGTCGATAACTGTGTAACGCTCTAGCCTGCCGGGAATACATGGTGGAGGTTTTGTTTCCTCGGCGGGGGTTGGGGGCGGCAGCCCCCCCAGGGGGGTCGCAGGGGGCACAGCCCCCTGCAATGGAAAGTTATGTGAATAACCATGGTTATTTTCACTGTGCGTTATATTATTAGTGCTATTTAACCCCGCATTTTCCCTGGAACCTTTCATGCCCTCCCCTGCTATCGGGGCCAACTTTGTCGCTACCGGGGGTTTCCGTGCAATAAACTATATATTTGCAATGTGGACAGTGAGAGGAATCCAATGATACCAAAATCGTCGATATCGGTTATGCGGACGTATTATAGAAAAATTACCCATTTTACAAATAAAAAGATCAAGCTATAAATAATTAACGAAGAAATAAATACAAATATTCTATCTGCAAAAACCTCTTTCTTGCCAAAACTAAGTAATCAGAGTGGAAAAAACGCAAGAAAGTTCGCCACAAAAACGAAACACCGGCAGATTCCCCAACTTTTTGAACGGTTAAAATCGACAGAAAATCCAAAAATATCCAAGAACCGGCATGCACTGATTATTCTTTATCTGCAGAGACACATGTCACGCGGCGTAAAAGTGCGTCATTATTCCTAACTGGATGAAGAAACGGAAAACCAAAATTTCCCGTCACATGAATCAGCTGATCGGCCACCGGAGCAGACGACACCTCTCATCAACCCGATTTTCACCGAGTTCCGACCCTATTCTCTATTCCTACGCCCTGCTAATCATTCCCCTTCCCGCTATCCCCCTCGTCTTACGTTTGCCATAGAACCTGGCGGGATCGAGGGCCCGTGAACCTTGGGATTGTATTCGGCTGGGTACTCTCCAAGGGCCATGTTGACTCGGCGGCGACAAGGTAGGTAGTGCAGACGTGCGTATCCCTCCGCCAATCAGACTTCCCCGGCACTCGCCCCTCCCCGCGCGTCAACCAATTGGAACTCGTATTGGGATGACGTGGATATTAAGATGCATTTTGACTGGTTAAACAGCCTTTGGTGTTGATGACCTTCGAGTTTTATAGTGCCTTTCGGATATAACAGAGACTTTTACAGAATTAAGTGCTCATTGACAATTTTCTGTTTTCATTATTTAACTAAATAACAAAAAGAAGTACAAGAAATGGGTAGAAGGACTCGTAAGTAATTACTTAATGGAATAAATGAACGTCCGTCAGGATCTACTTAATATCTGCTAACCAGTATGAAAAGCCCCGGAGACAAAATTACACATCAATTTCTACATTTTGTCAGCTTTGATTTACCATTGCATGGTAAACATATTGTTGATTAACATTTCAAATATTTAAAACGAGAAAAAATATGTGATCAAAACAACAATACTGCAATCAAAAGGCAAAATCTTTCTTTCCGAATGAGCAAAAGTTCCGTTACGAAATTTGCATATTAACATTGGCGACGAGCGGCGTTAGCGCACATTCTGTCCCAACATCAACGAGAATCACAAATTTACGCCCCGTAAAAGCCATTATTATTGTGCAAGAAAGCTAGAGAGGACGAAATAAGCTTCGAAAGCCGCGCGAGCGTTCCGTTCCGCGTTCCTCGTGCAACAAAATCGCATCGAACGCGCATCGAGGGGGAGCATTGGTGGCTGCTTTGTTTTTCGCGGAATATCCTAAAATGCCCATCGCTGCCCTTGATTCTCGCTAAATCCACAAGCCGAGCCGAGAACGTTGTCGAGGTAAGTGCCTCGCGGCGCGGGCCCGCTGCATGCTCGGAGCGAGGCGAAACGGCGGAAAATGGAGTTGTTATGCGGGGTGGCTTGGGGTGAGCTGGGGTTGCGGGCGCCCTTTGGGGAGGGACGAGGTGGGGTTTTTGTTTTGTCGCGGGAGAGCCACGGAGGCAGAGCCACTTCTTGGGGACTTCTTGGCCTCGCCCTCCAGCCTCCCTCCTGCGCCGCCGACCTTGATCCAAGGCCACCCTCGTCCTCCTGCCGAAGGCGCGGAGGCGGCGGCACAGAGAGAGGCGGCAGGGGAGGCGGCGGAGGCGGAGCTGCAGGAGGAGGAGGAGGAGGACGTGGACGATGTGCGCGAGGGATCGACACACACACACACACGAACACATATATATATAGCAGGGACAGAGGACCCTCTGCTTCTCCTCCTGCTGCTCCTCCTCTTGCACCCTCCTCTCTCCTCCTTTTTTATTCCTCCTCCTTCTCCTCCTCCTCCTCCTCCTGGAACATTTCTCCTCCTCTGCCTCTCCACTCCAGCCATACACACAGCCTCCTTGTCCCCCCCCCCCCCAGTTGAAGGAGAAGCAACACTGAATAAACTGCAATGCTGTCCCCATGTAGGCCAACTCGGAGGTCCTCCTCAGAGCTTTTATTTGAGACTTGTCCCAAAGTGGAGGAGAGGAGCCAAGTGACCCCCTTGGTAGGGAAGGGGCTTGAGGAAGGGGCTCCAGTGTGGCTGGGCTCGGAGGAGAGTGAGAGAGTCGTTTCCTTGATTCATCAGGGGAAGGGAGGATAATGGCAGGCTCGGCAGGTTGGTTTACAGGACACATGCATACACAGTATCTTGAGAAAGGGAGGTAGGGATAGGAAAAGAGAGAGAGAATGAGGGAGGGAGAGGTAGATGCAGTGAGGGTGCCAGATGCTGTCGGCACAGATGCCATGTGGTGGGAAGATTCCACCCTTGGCCAGTTGTTGGGAAGCTCACGGACCGAAAGGACGACCTGCCTGCTGTCTCCCTGGGCATTCCAGCTTCCATAGCCTGAGAGAAGTCGCAGCGAGAGAGAGTGGGGTCGTCGCCCGCCAACGCCAGCGAGCATGGCTGGACAGACGAGCTTCAGATCCAGGTCAGGCGATGAGGGCAATCTTGAGGGGGAGGGTAGGGGAGGGAAGTGGAGGCTTTGGCCCTTGGAGGAAGGAGCCGACTTGTCGCTGAGAGGGTACAGCTAGGGGTGTTAGCTCTGAGGGGCGGTTTTAGTGGTTAGATTGTTGGGAGTATGATTACAAAGTGTTGAGGACTTTGGAGAACGGTACTCTGAGAGGAGACGTTGTGTGTAGGATATTTTAGATAATTATGTGTAAGAAGATGAATTCACTTTTGAGGTAAATGTGATATTCGTTTCAGGGTGCTGAAATGCATATGTATATATATATTTGAAGTGTGTAAGAAGTTCTAAGGGTTAGTCTCTCTGCTTTAGGATTCTCTATTGTTGAGTGTGAATGATTGTAACAGCCAACCTTCGATCATATAAAGAATGATTTTTGAATAGATAAAAATAATATTGCTGTTCAGACATAAGACTATATAAATAGATGTAATCTTTTGAGGAAATTATATGGAGACATTTCTTTGACTACTTTATTATAAGTATATATTTGTCTTCTTGTATTTGATGATTTATTGTTTTACATCTAGTTTGTGATTTTAGGAAATGATAAAGAGAACCAATGATCATTCCCTAGGTTTTACATATTTTACATGTCATATATTTAATTAACTTTCAAGGTTACTTTCTGCATATATCTCTGATGGGTCAGTTGAGACATTTTTGATTGCTGTGTGTTTTATTTGTGAATAAATTGATATATAGAAGATGACCTCAATATTTTTTTTAATTCCCATTTACCATTACCTTAAGTGTTCCTCTTTGCTTTCTTCTTTTGAAAATCATTGTGATTTGAATTACTAAATAAGATTAGTTACTTTGCCAGTCTTTTTTGTGGCTTATTGTTCAGAAGCATATATTTTGCTGACAATCCTGTGTAAAAATTTACATTATGTAAAATACTAAAAAATAAATTAGTGAAAAGACTAATGCATATTACAAAATATTTGATTTATTAGAAAGTCTCCAAAATGTTCATTGTCTCATAAAGTCATAAGAAATTGCTCTTTGTTGGGATTGTGTAAGATATGATATAAGGAGCAAGTGTATGCATATGTATTTTAAGCATTATAGATGAATAGTTACATATCTTAGTTACGTAATTATACTGAATGTGTATTCATATGTATCTATCTTACAAGCTTGTTAGTAGATTACCTCCCTTTTCTTTATTTTTTTTTATTTTTTCATTTTTTTGTTTTCTGTAATGAAACTGCTCTGTGCTCATCTTTGTCTACTTGGCTGCGATTGAACATAAGATTCTCTCGAGTAGTTATGATGATATTGGTGCTTTGGCAGTTATTACATAGGCTGTGTTATGTGGGAGATATTTGTTTAGGAAATTAGATTGCCTTATGTAAGTGCTTAGATAAAATGTAATATGAAGGTAATATCAGCATGATCTTAGTATTGAATTAGAGAGGAGTTTTAGGCGGCATTTTTGGTAGTTTAGGTGTGAAATCGTGAGCTTGGTCTGTTAATAGCTGCTTTTCTCTCCCTTTACTTAGTGTAAAGCTAGCATAGAATTACCATAGTGAATACGGAAGGATAGCTGTGTAAATTTATTTTTGTGTCTCTGTCTTATTTGCTTGTTTGTTTGTCTATCTGTCTGCTTTGTATGTCTGTCTGTCTGAGGGAGAGAGGATGAAAGCACATGCATAAATTAGGGTCTTTGTATGGGTTATTTAGGTATTTGGAAAATATTTGTCTGTATACATACTTACTTTACATACATGAACACATGTGTACACAAAACTCAGTATTGTATAAAATGCTTTTCTCTTTATGCATATACATTTTATGTATATTTTTCTATTACGCATTACATGATGGTTTGTGTGTGTGTGTGTTTGTGATTTTAATGAACCATACAATTTTAAAGACTAATTGTTCTCCAAATCTGAAATTGACTTTACACAGTGATCTCTCTGTGTGGTTCCTGTATATTTCCATTATTTAGATTAATTATTATCAATATTTATTTTATCTCTATATAGTTATATATTTTTCTTTCCTTTTTGCATGACATTGTGATATTGCATTCATATTTTTTACCTTTTTGATTTTTTGTTGTTATTGATTAATATGATTTTTCTCCCCCACCCCCTTTTTAGAGCTTGTGTG